CTGGTCGAGAGTCTATAGACAGGGAGGGAAATACGGTTTAACTCCACGTCCAGGGAATCCTCAGGAAAGATAATTCCACAGTCCATGATTCTGTAAGCTTGGGAAGCTGCTATAAAAGTCTCGGGAAATAAACCCAAGCTACAGTACATCTAGCGTGGGTCAAAAAAATGCAGATTGTTTTTTCCCCCACAGGAAATTTTTTCATTTAAAACAATATATCAGGTGAAAATTTTTTAATTTTGCAGTGAAAATTCCCACCCCCAAATGGTTTGATTTGGAGGGTTTCCTCCCTTTTCCGGTGGCAAAATAGAAAAAGGGTGAGAAATGGGACTGGCACAAGGGGACCCCATTCTCAGCTGAATCTAGGCCCCAGTATAATGCAAATAAATATCAGTAACTCTACGGTCCCTGGCTCCCAGTCCTGTGCTCTGATCACATTACTTCTGCAAGATCTTCATAAAAATGGGAAATCAAAGACCTGTACCTGAGACTGGCCGACTAGGTCTAAGCTGAGAGGAGCATCACTTACTGGAGATATCCCAGCTGCCTACAGATCAGAGTCCCCAGGGAGAGATTCCACCGCTCGTGACATGCCAGGAGCCAGCCGGGCCTGCCTTCCACCTGCACTTCCAACAAGAAGTTTCCCGTGTTTATTCTGAAAGATACTAAAACCATTTTATTAAAAACGTCCTGCAAGCGTCCTTGCGACCAGCTCTTTGCGACCAGCTCTTTGCAAAGGCCAAAGCTAAACACAATAAAGTCCCCGTGACTAACGAGGGACGAACCCATCACCAAATCTGGCCCTGCAAAGTGCCCCAGAAAACCTTTGGGGCTATTGCAAACCACTCCTCGACCTTTCCATGTGCTCCCTGGGCTCAGGGGGTGGCACTGCTGGGTACTGGCAAAGCATTCTGGGTAGTGCTATGCAGAGGGCTCCAGCAAGCTTCCCCTTTGCTTCAGAATTGCTCCAGTGTCCCAAAAATAAAGCATGTTGGGGACTGGGTTTAAAGGCAGAAGCTGAGCAGGGCCTGTTTGAGTGAAAGAAAAGCTGCAAAATTAGTTGGAGGCTGAATCCGAGACACTTACTACTTACATAGCACTTTCCAGTTAGAAATCTCTAAACACTTTAAATAGCACCATTAACACTATCCCCATTGTAGAGTCAGGCCGAGGTTGGTGTCACAGAGCGATTGTGGTAGAGGCAAGCATAGAACCCACTGCCTGTCCTACACCCTGTCCAATGAACCACCCCGTCTCCTGCATTCAACAAGCAATTAGCATCTCAGGGACTTGATTAAAACTCCATTGCTGTGAAGTGGTGACTTTGTGAGACGCCCCATCCCAAGGGCTAGCTTCATGTGGGATTAAAACAGGGGCAGAGGTTACCTCTGGGGTGTGAGGGTCGGAAAAGGGGGACCAGTGGAGAACAGGAAGTGTGACATGTTGGGAGCACTGGTGCACCTGCACTGAACACCCGGTGGGTAAGAGGTTGTTGTCACCTCGCCTTTGCTTGCAAGATGGGAAACCCCCAGCCAAATGGGGCCCAGACACACTGTGATCTGTGGCGACCTCAGGAGATGGGTGCGGAGGGCTAACGCTGAGCCCTAGACAGCAGGAGGTGCAGGAAAGTCATTTACACCATCGTTGGCGTCACTGCTGAATTTGAACCACAGCTCACAATCTGCTCAGCTCCCACTTTAGGGGTGGGGGTCAAAATCAGGGGGTCAGTAAGGAGGAGTCCAGCTCCCTTCTCCTCTGCTCAGAACGGAGAGCGCGCTCCCCCTCCTCTCCCTGGCTTGGGTAAACAGCACTTCCCCCCCACTGCTCTTCCGCCTCCTGCTTCGCTCCCCTTTAACCACTGGGCTCAGCTGTCAAGTTGCTACTGTGATGCAAACATCCTCCGGGGAGGGAAGAGGCTTTTTACTGCAAAACTCAAGGAGAAAAACAGAATGTGGGGGAACTTTCTGGTCTGTGACAACGAGAAAGGGGCAGGCAAAGGCACAGAGACAGCCTCATTCTTTGCTTTGCCTTTGACCTTGCTCTTAGGTCAGGCTGGATTCCAGGGGGTTTCCACAGATCACTGTGAGTGAAAGGTCCAGCTGAAGGCACTAGGCGACACATCCTCTCCACAGGGAGAGAAGGGGCGTGGGGAGTAAAGATCTCAAACCTCTCCTGGGAGCCGTGGTGATGACGGGCTCGTCTTCCCTGGCGTCTGTGCAGATTGGGATCGACTCCACGTCCTGCAGGGGGCTGGGATCCTGGTCTGTCAGGGGCGCTGTCAGGAATTTCACTTCAGGAGGAAGCGCAGAGGAGTGAGATGTGATAGAACAGTCTAGACAAGGCCCCAGAACAACCCTGCACTGGCCCCGGGGGGGTTAGATATACCCTTAGGGCTTGATCCAAAGCCTGCTGAAGTCAACCAAGAGATTCCAGTTATTATGAGGCTGATCTATTATTTGCACTACAGTAGCACTTGGATCAGACCCCCATTGTGCACGGTGTTGTACAAACGCACAGCGAGAGATGGTCCCTGCCCTGAAGAGCTTACATTGAAACAGACACAACAGACGCAAGGTGAGAGGGGAAACAGGCTCCGAGTGGGGAAGGAACTTGCCCAGGGTCACGCAGCAGGTCATGGCAGACCAGGACTAGAACCCATTCCAGTGCCTGCTGCACTATGCTGCCTCCGGTACTCTCCCTTCTTGGGCTTTGCAGCTGGGCTTTCCCACACCTGGTGTCTGTGGCCCTGGGCCCCTGGTGACAATTCGCTCCATCACTTGCATGATCCCAAAGCCCTGCTGTCCGTTTCAGCCACTGGTCTAAGGGCGGTTTTGAGAGAGGTGAGGAATCCCCCAGGAGATACAGACCTAGAAGCCACATCCCGATGGCGGCCCCTGCCAGTAGCCCGATGGCCCCAAGCAGCAGGAGGCATCTCTTGATGGGGCAGAGGTTTTCCAGGGATGTGTCGGCAGAATCTTTAAAAAAAACAGAGAGCGGTTGGATACTGAACAAGTTCTGGGTCTCATTGTCTTCTCCTCTGTGGCACAGTCTGGCCCCATCTAGCCCCTTGTAAACTCCCTAGCTCACCACAAACTCTCTTCTCTTCCTATGAGGATAAGCCCAGCGGTCCACCATGCGCCGTGGTTAGTGCCCAGGATGGGGCACCGGGTCTCAGTCCCTAACAAGACTCCCCAGGGTGCAAACATGAGAACTAAGGAGGGATCCTTCCCCTGGACATCTTCCATCTGGCCAGCCAAAGGCACCGGAGCCTTTTAATTAAAGAAGTCAGGCTAGCGGGACCAGGCAACCTGCTTACTTTACGAATAGCTGGCTGTGTCTCTGGAGAGGCAACATCTGCAGCATCTATACATCACAAGGGAGGCTCTGAGTCATTTACATGAGCACAAGAGGCGGTGATGTGGTGCTGCACTGTACAAACGCTTGTGAAGAACACGTGATCTTCACGCCGGTGCACTGGAGAGCCTGTCCCACTTGGCTGCATTTAGCAATGCAGAATAGACTGGCTGGTGGGACACCTCTGACAAGGGGCAATTCCCAGTGACCTTCTCCAGGGGCAGGCGATGGTAACAACCCGCACGGCTACTCCAGCACCCTCCATGCAGGGCTCTCTAGGCCCTGGACACTCGGGGTTGCTGGAGTGGGGGAGGAGTGGACAGATGTTTCAGGTTCAGGAGGGTATTTTTCTTTCCAAAGGGAGGTGAGGGTTAGGGTTAGAAATGGCAAAGAAAGCGCCAGTTCTGGGGTGAGCACGAGGGACGGTTGCCCAAGATTCCCCTCAGCGTGGGATTCCCACGTGAGGAGCCCCAGTCTCTGACCGCTCATCTCCTAGGCGAGCTCAATGCAGCCACCTTGATGTGAGCAGGTGTTGTGGGGTTGCCAGTCCTGGCTTGATCTGGATCCTGTGGGTGCCAGGCGAAGCAGAGAAACCCCTTATGCCTCATGCTGCCCCAACTGCCCCACCCCCATGAATAGCTCACCATGTCCGGCTGAGGTCTGTGTCCTTCCCACTTCTCCTCTTGGCTCCGTTGTCTTGGCCCTCTGGCTTTGGCCAGCATTCTGAGGGCTATGAAGGTCAATGGGGAACTGGGGAACTGATCCAAGATTCTAGAGGGAAAGAAACAAAGATCTGTACAAATCTGGGGCCACAGGGAAGTAATCAGGGGAATGGTCCAAATGCACTGGCGGAGGTGGTTCATGGCCCAGTCACTCGTGTTGGGCCCAGATCTGAAAATCCACTTGGATAGGTAGATAAATAGCCAATGCACTCTCTTCCCCCGTGCAACCAACCGCAAAGTCCCTATCCTGCAGGCACCAGTGTCCAACTGTCCTGACGGCTCCCCGTGGGGTCAATGAAAACCTCACAATACCCCTTAGAGAGGGGATCCTAGTGGGCATGCTCAGAGAAGGAGCTCCACCAATGGGGTTCTGAACTGAGAAGATGGATCCCTGGCACAAGAGCCGGGATCCAGTCCCAGCTCATCCCAGGGGGAGAGGCACAAAGCCAGAGCAGTTTGGGAACAGGCATTCCCTCCGTTCTTAGTGGAAGCCTGAGATATGGGGGGTGGGATCCCAGGTCCTAGGGGGCAGGGTGGGAGAACGGAGCATTCCCCTGGCAGCCCTGTGTGGGCTGGGTACAGCCGGTCAATACACAGGGGGACTCTCTGGGGGGGATTCAAAAGCAACAAAACATTTTCATTTCGTTTAAAAAATGTTCACCCAATTTTTTCAGTTTTTTTTTTTTAATGAAACTACATTAACCCCCCGGGGAGGAAAATGGGAAAAAAAACCCACCCTACCCCGAGCACTGAAAACATCCTCGGTTTTCTTCAAAAACAGATTTTGACCAGAACAAAGCGTTTCCATGAAAATGCTCATTTTGCTCAAAAAATGTGTCCATGAAATGTTCTCCACCCGCTGCAGTGCTGGACAGCCCAAGGTTGCCCTCTAGAAGCTGTGCGGTAGGGCACCTCAAAGCTCGGTAAGAAGAGCTAAGAAAGAAAACAAGGAACTTTATCCAGCCATCTGAGTGGGGCACTTTCTGCGTGTGCACGCACACACGCACACACACAAATCTGATGCCTGCTGAAGAACCCAAGGTTCAGTTTCTTAGCTTTCCATTTGCTCCTTCAGTCACAGGCTCTAAACTAGTTTCCAACCCACAATTCCTCCCTCCCAGGCGCCGGAACGGTCGGATGCACATGTTCGAGCGTATTAGAACCTCTAGCGCAGAGGTTCTCAACCAGGCATCCAAGGCCTCCTGGGGGGGGCCACAAGCCGGTTTCAGGGGGCCTGCCAAAATAAACCAGAGCTGGCGTAAGAGGCGCTGGGGCCCCGGGAAGAAAGCCAAACCCGCACCGCACGGGACTGAAGCCTGAACCCTGTCGCATGCGGCTGAAGCCAAAGCTGGAGCAACTTAGCTTCGCAGGGCTCCCTGTGGCGTGGGGCCCTGGGCAATTGTCCTGCTTGTTACCCCCTACGCCGGCCCTGGCTTTTAATGTACTGGACATGGAGAAAAACAGTTGTTGTGGCACAGGGGGCCCGTGGAGTTTTTATAGCATGTTGGGAGTGGGGGCTCAGAAAGAAAAAGGTTGAGAACCCCTGGTCTAGTGCATGAAAGGAACCCACAGAGCTCACCACTTCCATACCAAACTGCAGGTGCTCTGAGACCACTTAGCTCCAAGCTATGCACCACCAGACAGCGCGTGGTCATACAGAAGGTAAAAGCTCCTTACCATGACAGCAGCACTCGGGGGAGAGCATGCGGCTAATTCACCATCACTGCTCCATGGGGCCAGCGGCTGCTCTCTGACAGGCGCAGCACCCGGGCCTCCCGTTAAATAGCCTGGGTTTCACACCACACACGCATGCATGGGCTAAACAAAGCCAGCAGCTATGGTGTCACAGTGAATAGAGCTGTTGTTTTCCCAGAGAAGTCAGGAGGCTGCCAGACTGGTTTGCCCACCTCCCTACAATCTGCTAATTGGTGCCTGTAATAGATAAGGGGGCAGTCGCTTAGCAACGCCCCGCCCTCCTCCCCGTGCCCAAAAAGCATGCCACTCTCCTGGGCACCCCACCAGGAAACTCTGTCACTCCGCTGGATTGCGGGTGGAGAGTGACAGAGCGGTATTAGCCTTTGTTGAAATGTTTCAGATCTCAGCCCCCTGGTTCATTTTGATTTTGTTTGGACCAGACTTCTCTGCAGTGCAGCCATAATATTCCAGGTGATAAATACTGCAAGAGAGCAAGATCAGCTGCAGCCTCTCCGAGCCCCGTAAGGTTCAGTTCATCCATCATTTAGGAAGATGGGATCCTCTTACCTGACTCCTAGGGCAACAACTCCCAACAGTTTCTGCTCCAGTCGGTTTGTTGGCAAAAACTCCAGGAGTGCTGCCGAGGTTAACGTGGGGCATCTGGAGCTGTCTCTCGGGCAGGTTTCACAGCAGCCACGGAGCGTGATATCGCGTGTCCCTGGTGCAGAGCTGTCCTGTCCCTGGTGCAGAGCTGTCATACGCTACAAGGCCATTTCCATTGTCTCTTTCTTCCCTCAAAGTCAGCCAGCCCCTCCTCGGCCTTGGAGCCCAAAGGGGCCTGATGTAATGGTTTGACAAGGGGCCCTGGGTTTCCTTGAACCTGCCTGGCTCAGGGGGTGGAAATGAATGAGGCTATTTGCTGTGGAAATGGTTGTGATTGCCAGCAGGATCCTTTGCGCCGACCCTAGGGTTTTCTCTCCCTTTGCCCCATCTTCCTTCCTACCATCATGGTCTCTGAGTCCACAGACAGGGCTGGGGTACTGTGGTAAGATCCTTGGGACCCCCATACCCCCAATACACTCACACACAGCCGTGACTGAGATAGCTCACTGGCTGCCTGCGTCATTCCTGCCGACAGGGCATGGAGAGGCTCCTTGCAAGTCACTCCTGTCCCCGAAGCTGCCTGGTTGCAAGTCAGACTGGACTGAATTTACATCACGTAGAATGGTGCATTTTACCCACCTTGCTAATCGCACCTTGGGCTACAGCACAAAAGGAAGAGCCCCTTGAGATAATTAAGCCAGAGCAGACACAAAGGCATGTGCTGTTGGGCCATTAGTGCAGATCTCACGTGCATGAGGCTGGTGGCTACTCTCTTCACCTGAGCAGTGTATTAATGGCCCATACTTACCAGCCCGGAGTAGTATAGTGCAGAGAAAAGTGGCAAAGGTATGTTTCATTGATGCAGGTCAGGACTGAGCTGAACTGGCCGAGGTGGGTGCTGCAGCATTGAACTGTATTACTGGACTGCGGTGCTGAGAAACCTCAGCTGATTGAGGGGTGTCGACAGAGCCGTGGGTGGGGACCCCAGGGCTGGAAGAGCTGTGGGGGCTGAGGATCAGAAAACCAGCAAGGTGCTGCAGTTTGACTGCAGATTACTCCTGAGAGTCCCCACGTCTCAGCAAGCCCTTGCGAGCCGGGGGGCTTTGACATTTCAAGGTAACTTTCACAGGCATTATGTGCATTATCTGCCGGCCAGGTGACAGTTACTCAGCACTCGTCACTCAGCCCTAAAGCCTGCCTTCCCGTTACACCTGTGCACTTGTCTGTCACACGGCCGGCTTAAAACAAACAGAGGGCCGGGTAATTCTCCAGGAACGTGTGCCCGACCCTCAGCTCCCAGCGCGTCCCCCTGGCCTTTTGGATGCAGAGTGCAAAGAATAAAGGTCAGAATGGCAGGTGCCACCGTTTCGTTTCTGTTTTGATTTCCCATGTTAATTCCATGCTGGTGAAAGGTGCCTGGTTAATATCCCCAGAGGATGAAAGTCTTTTATCCACAGCATGTTCCCCTTCCCCCTCTACCCCACAGCATGGCTCACTCTGCCAGGAGGACTCAGCACCAGGAATCCATCAGTCTTTCTCCTCTCTGCAGACTCAGCCACTGGGAGGAAGCGGGGTAATGAGTGCCGGCTCCGAAAGTGGGAGATTCGAGGATATAAGTGACTTCCCGCTGTGGCAATGGACTGGTTCATTGGACCTAGGCTGGGGCCTTTGGGTGCAAGAAGCAGGGAAGGGTTTAGACTTTCTGTGGAGAATGCAGGAAATCTCAGTATTATTTTTTGTGAAACGTATGTATGCCTCAGCTGCCCCACTCCCTTCGGGATTGTTACCCACTGGGGGTGAAGCGCTTTTTTTCTTTCCTGGGGCAGAGCATAAGTGAGGCAGTGACTGGGTGAGAGTCACGTGTCTGGGTTGGCCTGACTGGTCGAGGAAGAACGGGAGTTACCTTGGAGAGACCATGGAAGACCATCAACCGGACCATTAACTGTTAACTACTGCCAGCCAAGAGGGGCCTGAAAACAGGTGGCTGGATTGGAGTCAAAGCCCTGAGGGGTGAACAGACTGTGACAAGATCCCGCTGTATTGGGGCAGGGCAAGGGGGAAGGTCAATCCTGGGCATTTGGGGTAAGGCGGGCAGGTTGTGCTGCCAGCATGCACATGCATGTAGGGTTTGTGTTACCTCTCTAACCTCATGGCCCTAAATGCTGGATTCCAGCTGGGTCTCGTCCTGCGTCTCTGTAAACGTTTGCCAGTTGCATCGCTCCCAAGAGGGGCAGTATCCAACAGGCGCCAAGCTCTTTTGGACCTGTTGCAGGAACTCTGGTGAGAAACAGAGGTGCTGGAGCCAGGGACACAGTATCCGAGCGCAGGGATCCTCTTTGCAAAATGTGGAAGTCAGGGCTTACCACTAAAAAGGCATCAGCATGGAGTCTTCTCCATCTGACTCCATGGCACCTTTCCTCACAACAGGGGCACTAGACTTGGAGAAGGGGGTTTAGACCGTCATGAGGGGCGTAAAGCATCCAAGTCATCTTTCACCTAAGAAGACAAAGGAACTGAGCACTTTGCGGGAGATCCTGACCAGCGGGGCGGTCACCCATCTTGCCGGAAAAAGATGTTGTAAGAATCTTAACAAAACTACAGTCTCGGTTGAAGGGAAGTCTTATTCACTAGACCGTGTTTTTCACTTTTATTCCTTTTTGACCATTTCTGACTTTATCCCTGGTACCTGCACTCAGTTCAAAGCTCTCTCCTTCTGGTTAAATACACTTGTGTTACTTGTATTCTAAATGCGTGCTGTGTTGCACTGGGAGTGATTATTCACTCCAGTTAAAGCAACAAGCCACTAGGCATTTGTCTCTTTCAAGGAGCAGCGGCCCCTTATGACACCTCTGAATGTTCCAGGAGAAGGCTGGACAGTGGTGGGGAAATTCAGGACTGGGGTCACTTGGCTGGTCATAACCAAGGCGGGCCGAGACCAGAGTGTGGCTGGGGTAACAAGCAGGCGGGCTGGAGTCAGTGCTGCTGAACCAGGGCAGCTTAACACACAGATAGTGTGTGCTTGTGTGCTGGTGGGGAGCACCCAGACAGGCAGCTCCAGCAGCAGGGCCTTGCAAGGCACCCAGAATTACAGGCAGGCGGTGACCCAGCCTCTCGCTGAGCGGCCCTTCTCTGAGCCTGAAGAGAATGTGTATTTAGATTTTCCCCCTTTGAAATCTCTCTGTCATTTCCAGTCTCTCCGAGACGGGAAGAGAATGAAAGTGTTGAAGGCGGCTACCTTGATGTCGGTGCCCAGCCGTCACCTACTTGGGTATTACACCAGCCCCGACGTCCCTTAGTGCTGGGACAGCAGACGCGCCCCCTGCAGTGATGCGGGGCTGGGTCTCAACTGGTCCTTCTGTCTCAAAGACAAAGCGCAAGTGAAGCAAACACCAACCACTTGTGCCTCTTTCCTGGTGCAGCAAGAGCGCTCTTTTCCTGTCAAGAGGGACCCACGCGCCCTCTCCAACCAGAAAGAAGCAGCTGACATCTTGTTGCTTACAACCACAGTGAATTCGTAATGATACTCACCCAAGGAAAGCGCTGGGGATATTTTACGATCACCCTGGCCTGCGTGTTCTGGCTGAGATTTGGTGCAACAAATCGACAAGCGTGTGCACTAAACAGCAAGTGCTTTGAGTCGCAAGCATTCCACAGCAGCGGATGTTGATACTGGCACCCAACATTGGCTCTTGGCACCCCTGCGGGAGGAGCTGCACATTGCTACACCGACTGTAGGACCAGTGCTGACGTGGTTGTGATTCTCAGGACGGACCCAGCCAGCTCAGAGAGGCTTCCAGTCACAACCACTTTATATATTAGATTGAGAGCTGTGCAATGGGGAAAAGCAAAAGGAATATCAAAGAGAGAGCAAGTGTGTGTCTCCCCTCTCGCAGTCTGCCCTCAGCTGAACACAAAGCGGCTGCCTGTGTCTGCACCCGGCAGAGTCCTTGGAGGTTTGCAGGGACAGCACGCAGAAAACAATGGCAGATCAGTTAAAATGGCTAAATGCACCACAGCAAATGACCAGCCAATCCCTCCCACACTGCTGCAGGTCTCCTATAACAGAAAGGCACGGGTTTCATTTTTGCACACGATCCTGGCTTGATCTTCTCTCTTTGAGCTGTGGATCCACGCCAGTGAGATCTCTCTCTTTCCAGACAGGTTCCCTCCCACAGGATGGGATTTTCCCCCTTCCATCGTCTCTCCTTTGCTCCATGAAAGTGGCTAAAGATCAAGAGCCCCTGAGACAGCAGGCTGAGGATGCAGCCCTCTGGGGCTCCTGGGAGTGACATGCTGTTGGGGGAGTGTTGCATTCACACTCCTGCCTTGTGCAAGGCCAGTGAGAGTGGGCGGCCCTCAGGGTGTCCTTAGTGTAACAGATGGCAGTTGAATGAGGTCTTCATCAGCTACAGGCAACACCATGGGGCTGGGCGACTTGTCTGTCCACACCAGTTAGGCAGAGGCTTTGGGGTTTGCCGACTGAAAGCCAGGTTTGCTTCTGGTTTCCAAAGATGGAACTTTGCCTTGCTCACAAGAGAGGAGTTTGTTCTGCTGGACTGATTGTCTCGCTTCACAGC